AACCAACTGGCTACCATGAGAGATTCGTTCATGAGGCCATTCACATATACAAGCACAGAGACAATTTCAACCGAGAAGATGGATTCAGGCTTAGTAACCACTGGAAAGATGTGTTAAATCATTTCTGTTCTTAATTAATTGTAATTTTACGATGACCTTCAGACCGCAGCTCTTTCGCCAGCATTGCCTCTTAATACCTCTCACACCACGGTTAATGGTATGGTTTACAACATGGAGTATACTAGGGCTTCGCAGCTGTCTCTCTCCCCCTCCTCTGTTCCGACCATGGACGAACTCGTCCGTCTGAACGGGGCCCGTAGCTATCCGTGGTACGGAAATTTGAGGGTAAGAATCCACCCATTTTTTCGCCATATAGCATTGTGATATATAACGACTTATGGTTGGTAGCTTAGCTGATTGGAGAATATAGAGTTTATTGATAACATGAAGGTAATTTATATTTTAGTTTTTATTGGTTCACTATATAGTACTGTGAATAGCTCAGATGTGTAGTCATTTCTGTGACCAGTCACCAGCAAATCACCCAGTTATTTCAATGCTAAATTCTCCTGTTTTGATTTGTACTAAGTGCCTCGGTGAATGTGTATGCTCTGACTTCAACGTAACTATTTCTGTAGCAGTTACAAGCGAATGCCTTAATTTAGCTATTTCAATGCTAAATTCTATGCTAATTCCTTTTAACAATGGGTGCCTCTGCGGATGTGTATGCTTTAACTTTTAACATAGCTATTTCTGTGACCAGTCACAAGCTAATCATTCAGCCTTTTCAATGCTAAATTTTATGCTAATTCCTTCGTCAAGGCTCTTTGTTCCTCTCACACAGCTTAAAAGCCGTGATCTGAACGTGGCTCTCTCACTCCAGCGCTGTCCTACCAGACAGTCTCGCTCCCTTCACCTGATGAAGGCCGCTTGTGTTGTGGCCGAAACGTCGTGAGAATATTATTGTGTTATTTTATTTTATCAATTTATTATTTTATTCTCATTCTACGTGACTTTACCGAAAGTACCAAAGAAGATGAATCATTGCAGTCACGAAAGCTTTAAATCGAAATTTTGTCTTCCGTTTGAGCTTTATTAAGCGCTTCCTTACAAGTCTCGTGATCTGTGCATATGACTTCCTTCACAAGGCAGCCTTTCTGGGGTGGCTTGGGATATTTCTCCCGCTACTGTTAGGAACTTTCATGTTTTAATTTGGCCGACTTGATGTAATTTCCTTTTGCAATTACGCCTGCGGCATCGACACTGAATCTCAATACTCATACGCGCGATTTGTATGTATGTTGAACTTCTTTTGCACCGTACGTAGCCACCCGTGACAATGCATGTTACGAACTACTTCCAAGTGACCCACAATTCTCAAATACATTGGTTGTGAATGCAGTTCAGTTTTCCCCTCTCAGATAATTCGGAGTAGTGTGCATGCACTCACATCAACGAATACAGTAATAAATTAATCCCAGTGAATTATTGGGGATGGATTGGTGGAACAATGGTTTAGTGTGCTACGCTATGAACTCAGCCACCTGGGTTTGATTCCGGCCACAGCTAACATCAGTAGCGAGTGATATCTTGAAAAGTCTCCTGGATGCACCTTTCACCAACCCACACTGACTGGTCTGTGTGACAATGTAACCTCTAACAATCCCCATGACCTCTTCGTTAGATGCAGAGCAACAACTACAATTTCACATTCAGGTGGTCAAGCCAGACAACCGCGTCAGGAGCAGCGGAGTGTATCGCCGTGATGTCTCCTTCGTATTCGTGGATTGGGCATCGCATCGTTTTACGTTGTACGGTCTGTTCTGGATTACCACAGTCGCACATTGGAGAGTTTAATTTTCCATTTGTGCATCAGGTATCCGCATCTGCCAAGGTTTGTACTGATGCGGTTTGGAATGGACCATGAGTTTCGTGGAAGATTAAATTTAGGAATCTTCTGCGTTCGGTCTTTTATAAGACCTACATGAATGTCATCATTCGATTCAATAATAATTACCACCCTTGAGAACCTAGCAGCATCTTGTGGTTTCAGGGACCACGTGAAACTATTGCATCCAATCAATACGAATCAACATTTCATGAATCGGTTGATTGGCTGATGATACAATTGAAAAACTGATTCTTACACGAGATTCAATGCATTGAATCGTGAGCCTAATATCGATAATGCACAAAGCGTGAAAGAGTAAGCTAGAATACCCACTATAGAGTGGATCTCGAAGACTCGACCTATGTGTTTGCGGAGGCCCCTTCTGTCAGCGGTGGCGTGAGCCATTGATTGCAGGGCTGCGCCGTTAACCTTTTCATTTACAGAGTGGTCCAGATGTCTCGCGATTCCCCCCCCCCAATTAATTGACCGTGAAAATGGTTTCCCTTTGCATATTCATTTCCATTTTAAATAAACATTACTTTAAAATGCTTACGTTTTAGAGAATTAAATTGGGCTTACAAGACATCTGGACCACTCTGTAACTGACCCTCTTTTGGATTGGGTATTGGAAGGCGAAGGGGATCTCGCTGCTGTGGCGAGACGTTAACTACCTCGCCTCGTGATGGTCCTGGGTTCGATCCTAACCCTGATACCTGCTGCTGTATATTTGGTGTTTGCGTGTCTCTCTCTCCCCCCCGTGGTCGCGTAGATTTTTCTCAGGGTCCTCCGGTTTTTCCCTCCACATGTAAAAATCAACATCACGCGTTGAGAGTATTTGGCTGCTATAAATTTCCACACGATGATAAACCACTTCGTTGGGCTATCGTTTGGGATCGCCAGGTCGCTTCTGAAAAAAAAATGCTATATAGCTTAGTGGGTCTTATCTAGTAAAATACAAATAATATTGGGTTCAGTGAATCTCAACCTTTTTTCGGCTACTGCACCCCGTGTTGACTTTTATTTCAAGAGAGTAAACCCCCGTGCCTGATCCAACGTGGTTCTGAGAAATAAATGTAGGAATAATTAGCACCAATAGTTTCACCAAGCGAATAAAACAAAACTCCAATGGACCTTCTGCACGCGTGACGCAATTTGCTGCAATACTCTTGGAAACCAAATATTGTTTACGATCAATGAGTTTAGAAAGGTATTTTATTTCGTTCTAGGGTACCATATGTATTGAAACGTTATCGTAGTTATTTTATATTGGCAGATTCATATGCGATTGTTCACCAATGACTCTCACAATATGATATAATTTAACACATTTAGAAGTCACTTCACGTGCCCCGCCAAAAACAACAAGCCCACTTTGTTGAGCAATCATTTGTGATGGCCAGGCCGCTTATGAAAACTAAATTAAGACCTCAGTGGGCTTTGCCTGGGTAGGATGGGGATGGTTTAGTTTTATTTGTAAATGTTTGGGTGATTTTGTTTGCCTTTCTTTGCACTTACTATATCGTGTTTTTATATCGTTTGTTGTAGTAACCTTCTTACCCCGTACCCCAAGTGGACATCTGTAAAAAGAGCTTCATAGCTCATCGGATTCCTCCTCGTATAAATCAATATTCTGATGATTCTGGGTCCGTGTAACCCCCCAGTTGAGATATAACTTGGTATATAGTTACATTTTGATTTAAAGCTTTCGTGACTGCAGTAATTCATATTCATAGCTCTTTCGGTAAAGTCACGTTGAAGGGAAACAATAAAATAATAAAATATATAAAAACAATAAAAATTCTCACGACGTTTCGACCATAACACAAACGGTCGTCAGCAGGTGTGTCGGTTCGCATTTATTTATTTATTTTGTAAACGGGGTATTTCTTTATTTATATAAAAAACGTCAGCGCCACGTGCAGCGATTTGGCAGTTTATTTAGAAGGACGAGTCCATCTATGTTCTGAAAAGAGGAGGGGGGAGACGAAAAATTAATGTATGCTGTCTGAAAGCTACCGTAAGCGTGAACAATCAATTAAGACCTGAAATGGTTTATAGTTTATAGTCGGTGGCTAGGAGATGTGAACTCCTTTGCCTGTTATACATGATGTAGTGGGTTCGATCCCGACCCTGACGTCTGTTGTATATTTGGAATTTGCGTGTCTCTCTCCCCATGGTCGCGAGGATTTTACTCCAGGTCCTCCCGGTTCCCCTGCCCCCTCCACATTTAAAAAATAATAGGTGCAGTTTAGAGCATTTGGCTGCTAGAAATTTCCACACGATAAGCCATTTCGTTGAGCTATCAATTGTGGCCAGGCCTTTTCTGAAAAAAGTAGCTATAATGCTCAGTGGGTCTTACTCTTACCTGGTAAGGGAAAATAATATTGGGTTTTACCCTTTCTGGCAATAAAACAGGTGTTAAGATGTTCAAACACCAAATAGATTCCTTTTGCAAGGAATCAAGCGTGTTTTGTTTGCATGCTCGCCACAAGTACTGTATTGTGGTTGGTGCAGTACTTGATTCCTTGCAAAAGGAATCCATTTGGTGTTTGTAAACCTTAACACCTGTTTTATTGGCAGCGAAGAGTAAAACCTATTTTTATTTTTTCATAATTTCATACCTGTCAACCCCTTATCAGTGCCCTACCTTATTACAGAGCAATTCAGACCTTATTAGTCACCCCGTGCCCCTTATAAATCTCAACGTTTATCCTACAAAGTCCCATCACAAGGGAGAACACACAAACAAATAGACAAAACATTTGCCAGGATTGAAACGTCTGTACGCCGTATGGACCTGAAAACTAAATTTCCCTACACAATACGGTGTAACCTGTATGGGTTGACGGGTACGGTTATCGTTCAGTGTATATTAGTATAGTGTTTAGTGTAGTCGTGTATAGCAATGCAGTGTATAGTCGTGTAGAGTGTATATCATACCTGTCAACCACCTTATCAGTGCCTACCTTATTACAGAATAACTCAGACTGTATTTGTTTCCCCGTTACCCTTGTGAATCTCCCCCTGCCCCCGCCTCCTGCCCTCGCCCCGCCCCCTGCCCCCCGCCCCCTGCCCCCCGCCCCGCGTGCAAATCGCCGCGGTCCCTTCGCCGCCTCTTTCATTCGTTAAGAAGAAGGGGAGGAGGAGGCGAAGTCTCGTCGCTATTTTTGGAGTTCGCCATCCGCATTCCCCTGGCTACTGCGGCCCAGAGCGAACGAACGCCACCACACACACACACGGCAGCAGCAGCAGGCAGTAGCAAGCAGACAATTTTAGCTAACTTTGTTTATTTTACAAACTTGCCCTTCCCCCCCCCCCCAAAACCTCCCCCCCCCATCACCTCTCCACCAGCTTTAAAAGAACAACTTCCATCGTATTCGGTGGTTGGAGCGGTTACGTTGGTTGGGCGCACTTTGTACTCTTTGAAAATCGTGAACCACCACCATCATCATCATCTTCACCATCATCGGAGTTGGGATTTATCGGCGCCCGCTTGGCTGACGAACATCGCTAGCGTGAGAGAGAGAGACATCTTTGACACTCGCAGGCCTCCCGAGGAGAACAAAACAAAACAACAACGTTCATTCCGGTTGCTTCGCCCGTCCGTCAACAGCCTGCATTGACCAGCGTGGTGAAGTATGTCTGAGCGACCACCCTACGACCGGCACGGCGCGACGGGGGGGGGGGGGAACTCATCCAGCAGTGGATAAGCAATGTGGATCGGTCGTCCGCTCACGGGCAAGTTGGGACAAATGTTCCTCACGAGCAATGCTCTTTTGTAGGCTTGTACAAAAGCACGTGTGTTTGCGTCGGTTTTGTTTTGTTTTAAATGTGCGGTCGTGAATTAAATGATAACGCGCAGCGCTTTTATTCAAGTTCCACCGCTGGATGAATTACACCCGTGTGTTTTAGTGTTGGGTTTCATGTGTTCCGGTTTTTAAAAAATATATATATACACACAACCAACAACATGAAAGTGTCGTCTGTGACCACGAATTACAGCGCAACTTCAGAATCTCGGATGCTAAAAAGCATTCTGTTGAGCCTGATTGAGAGCTTGTTGGATGGGGGTAAACCACCGTGCATAAAAGGTGTTACAGGCTGCAGAGTGGCCGTGATGGTTTTGGTTTCGTGTAAGTGTAACAACGCGTGCATTGACCATTGTCCTGTGCCCCTCCCCTCCCCACCTTGCACGTGCTCTTCCACCTTCGCCAAACTTACATTGATGGCCAACGTGGTGAAGTGTGATCAATAAATCCCTCCACGTGACCTGCACGACGCGTGGAGGCCGTCGTCCGGCAGTGGATTGACAATAAGGGTTGTGTGACATGCAGCATACCGTGTTCGTATTTGCACAGGGAGAGATTTCAGTGTTTCAGTTTCATTTATTTGGTTATTGCCCCCTTGTGAGCCATTCGGCTCTTGAATCGGGTGCAACCGCAACAAACAAAAAAATCCAAAGCAGGAACAAGAAAACATCTTAAAGTGACTATGTGCAAAACAGAAAAAATCCAGGAAAATCCATCTATCGATAAGGCCACTGAAGTCTTCTTAATGGCTGAGTCGGTAATTGATTAAAACAGGTGACTTCTGGCCGGGAAAGCGCTTGAGATCGGTGGGAGACATTGTTGGGGGTAGGTGTTGAATTCAAATGTTACTTACTCTGCGTCTTCCGCATATTTTGCTTGGGGACCTTCTACAACGTTGACTGTTCAAGTTGCACCCAATACATTTGTCTTGTGGTGCTGCGTTGGACATGGCGCAATAAGCATGAATTGTAATCGCCCATGGCACGTCGCTCACCGCCTTAGAAGGAAGCGATATAGGCGACGTTTCGGGCTATGACCCTTCATTGGTATCAACCACACTTGTTTACCCAGGAAAGCCTCGCTGCGTCTCAACACTCAGAAGGACCCTATCAAGTTTTTGTAGGAAGGGGCATGGACAATAATAAGGATTACTTTTCTTCTGCCGATTCGAGTAATTGTCAAGATTCAGGGTCGCGATTCGGTTTAAGAATCCGTTCTCTTTCGTCTCGTTTTCATCGTTATTTTTTTACTCTATTAATGCCTGTGCATATAGTGCACACAGTTGCATGCTGTATATTGTCAATAGAATGCACATAGATTAATTACCTATGTGCACTTTTCAATTCTCTTTAATGGCAAATGTTATCATTGACGAATGCGAGCAGCGGTAGGACTACCGCAGGGCGCAGATTATTTGGCTAATCATCACTGATGTCTATTGTTTAATATTTTTAAAAATAATTTGTGCGTACACATATTTAGCCCTTTTTTTCAATCACTTTAGGATTCAGGGCCATTTGTTTGAATTAAATCTCAATCCCAAATCGTGACTACTGTATTTATCAAATCACTGGTAGCAGTAGGGTTATTCGTTATATTGTCTCTTAAGAGGATTTCTTCCCACCAGCAAATGCATTCACATTTTCTAATCATTGGTTTTGTGAAACAATGGTGTCTCAAATGCAAATGCATTTTGGTGGCAAATGAAAACTGCGCATTGTAACTGTTAAAACTTATGTTGGTGTCCAATGAACATATTGCACACCCCATCAGGATGGCGTGTGCAGTGGCCACCCCATTGCTGGAGCCGAGCGGGGACTTCCCGGCGTGGCTGGAGGCGCAGGGTGTGAACGAGGAGGTGGCCCGGGCCATGGACTCCGAGCTGGGCATCCGGGACTACGGGGTCCTGCGCGCCTGCGTCAGGGATGGCCTCGTGCGGGCCGAGCTGCTGTCCACGGCGCGCGACCGCCTGCCCTTTGGCTTCTACGCCGTGCTGCGGCAGGTGGTGAAGGTCCTGCAGGGCGCCGAGCCCCACGACCCTGAGACGCCGCACTGGGACGCTGCCACCGGCGCCCCCTCCTATCCGGGCGACGTGACGCTGGGAGGCCTTGTGGATGTGCTCCGCACACTGTTCAGTGGCTTGAGCCGGGAGCTGCAGATGTGTGTGCAGAGGCTGGGAGGCATGGATGGAAATGAAGTGTGCACCGAGTATTCCCCTTCACCTACTACGGCAGTCACCCTGGAGGACGGTGCAATGCATGAAATTGATGATTGCAACATCACTGGTAAATTTGCATTCTTAGAAGTAGGCCCATCTCTTTACATTGTCATAGTTATCGAGTATAATTCTAGATCTACGTCCCAAATGGAGTATTCATCCCATGACCTGATGTCGATAGCACAATGAGAAAAAAAGTATGTTGTAGAAGGGTATAGAGTTTTGGCTATATGGACATCTGAAGATGTAGCCTTGAACCTTACTGATGCTGCTTCATCAAAAGGTAATTGATGCTGTGTCCTTGAATTTCCCCAGATGAGGTTGGAGAGAACCAAAACTCGGAAAGAGAAGAGGATGGCCCCAGCGAGATATTGCACACGATTAAAACGGAGCACTTCAGAGGTAAACCTTACATAATGATCTGTATTTAAACATTTAAATTGTTCTGTTTCACCCAACAGATTCAGCACGGTTGGCTACTGACGGTGCGAAAAAAATTCAACATACAACTGCATTTAAATTGCACGGGAAAATAAGTGAGGTTTAGGATAGTGGCTTATACAGCTGTCTTTGCTGTTGATTCATGGTTCAATTTGTTTGGAGAATGTGTTGTGAACAAATTGCTTCAGCCACTTCAGTGTTGATACTGTAACTTTTGACTATGTAGGTGAAAGGAAACACACGTATGGACATGGGAAATTCTGACCCAGAGCGTATATCGCACAAATTTAAGACTGAATTGCTATGAAGGTGAATCAGGATTGCAACAATACATTTCAACATGTTTAATTTGACCTCACTGCCAGACAAACTAGAGGAAGTAGTGCTAATCTGAAAGTCACAACAAGGTCAAATTGCAGCATACGTAGCAAAGGATGCAAGTTTACAGGACCGACAATTTTTATGGAACCACTTTCAGTCGACCCCCACATGTAATAAAAGGGAAGTGCAGTAAAATATATCGTACGTCATCGTCCATGCTGCATGCCTTCAACCCACACTGACCATTGTGGTGAGAAGTATGGTCAATAACCACCATGACGCACATACCATAGGAGGTCCTCATCCAGCAGTGGATCTGACAAAGGGCCATACATTTACATTAGAAAAATAGACACATTTTATTTAATCCCCAATTCAAGTGTCCGTGAATGTCTCTTATTGATCCAGTTTTTCCACACATGCTTACTGAATGTCTACATCACCAACATGGCAGATCGCCACAGTGATACATTTTGACCCACAGCATCAAGTCAAGTGTGTGAGGTCAGGCTACATTGAAAGAGTGGCAGTGTCTTTGCTGAGATCTGATTTTTATCAACTGAAATCCCCCATACCGTAACTAACTTCGTTTTCATTGTTTTCTTTCTATATCTCAATAAAATCAAAGGTGATGTAGGACTCGCCATCACAGGCGTGCTGTCGCTCGTCGAGAGAAAATCAAACTTAGAACACGTTAAGGAAGATCCACAGATCCACCAGCAGCAGCTGGAGCAGCAGGCTGGTGACGAAATACAAATCAACGCCGACGCTGAAGAAATGTCTTCATGCAAAGTGAACACGCACATGCCAGCTGATACACAACACACTTCTGAAAGCCAGGAGAACCTGAATCATAATTTTACTCCCTTGAATGACAAGGATATGCCGTTAGAGCTCCAGCATGATGAACCGAAATCTTCAAGATCTAGTTCGATGAGAAACGTGAATGAAAAATCCGAAAAGAAGCCCTTTGAGTGCACAGTGTGCAACAAGAAGTTCTCACGGAAATACCAATTCCTGACCCACCAGCGTGTGCACACGGGTGAGGAGAAGATGATTCACTCCATGTGCGACCTTTCTTATCCCCAGTCTTCCGAATTTGGGTCCCATGAGCAGACGCATGAGGAGGAGGAGGATGAAGAGGGAGAGGAGACGCACCCATGCAAGTTCTGTGATCAAAGCTTCGCATACAAATCGATGCTCACGGACCACATGCATTTGCACTCGGAGTGGAGGCCCTACCAGTGCAAGATTTGCGACAGCAGCTTCTTCCGTAATGATCACTTGCAAATGCACGTGCGCACGCACACAGGCTTACGGCCGTATCAGTGCAAGGTGTGCACGAGAAGTTTTATGCGTAGTCATCATTTAAAGGTTCACGAGCGCACGCACACAGGCTTGAGACCTTACCAGTGCAAGACGTGCAATGCGACCTTCATATGTAGTCACCACTTAAAAGTCCACGAGCGCAAGCACTGTGGACCGTGATGGCAATTTGAACAAAGTGTGTCAAATTATTTAGTTTCTTGAGTACCAGCCCCTGTGGCGTAGGTGTGGATGGCACAGGCCCATAGTGAAAGAAGAGAAATGGGAACCTTTGTCTCAATCACCCTTCCCTCTTTGTAGCCTCAAACCTCTGGGTCCTTTCTGCCCCGTTGGCCCTTGTGCAGTTGCACCGCCTGCACACTGCAAAGCTATTCCTCTGACAACCCTTAAGAATTGAGCCCATTTGTCAGCCGATGCAGTTTTATTTTCATAAATAAATTTGAGTCCACATCCTCCCTCACATCATATATTGATGTTCCGGGTGTTGGTTCTTGGGGCATCAGCGGTATCAGGCATAACTCCCACAGTGAACTCTTCCGAGCAGGTGGTGGGAGGAGGGGGGATTTTCTCTGGGCGGGGAGTGAGTGTTAGCTGGACATTACCATTCTGGGTTCATTCTGGGTTTTTCCGTTTGAGCTTCTAGCTCTCATTCTACAGGATCTAGATTGGGCCTAATTAATTCAGCCATTGAGTATGGGAGGGGAGTTTGATTATTTCACGTACTCAATATGGTTTTCCTGGCCCGATGTATGGAAAGTCCTGAACAAAGCTTTCAATGCTCAGGTCAGCCCCGCTTAGGCTCGACAGGGTAGTTTCCATACTGATATTGACAAGATGTATTATTCTTATTGAAAACTACCATGATATGTTGATAGAGCTCGGCAATAGTCGGACATGACCGTAAAGCACGTTTGTAATTGTGTAATATATCTTGGGGGGGGGGGGGTAGTTCGGACATGAGGCTGCACCAAACTTGGCCCTCTGGTTGTTTGTAGGCCCCATGTAAGAGCTTGAATTGGACAGTTCTCAGGTGGAAGGATTTGGCCCTTTGGGAGATGGATTTCTAAATGTGGGTCCATGTCTGGTTGGGGATTGCCCCATTTGCAATTTGCTCCCACATTAACCATTCTCGCAAGTATTCCACCAGTGGCGTGGGAGGGGTCATGAAATGGGTCCTCAAACGGCCGGGAGGGCTGATCGTTAGAAATATTATCTCGCTCCTCTCTTGCTCGACAGATCTCAACCCCACGTCTCCTTACCTTGGGAGTGTCTTAATACTAGTTATCGAGGAGCCTCTGTCCCCTTACTTTCCTGAGCTACGCAGCCCTTGCTATAAGAACCTCTATGAGGTGGGCAAAGGCGATGTGGGAGGTGACGCACTTAACCCTTTTCCATTCTGATGACGTACGTGTATGTCATCACCTTTTATTACGATTCCATTCCCATGACATACGTGTACATCATCAAAACGAAACCGGAAGAAAAACTAAAATAACTTCATCAGTACCGAGGCTCCCACAAGGCCATGCGGTCGTGTGCCTACAGTTCTCTGCGTTGACTACAATGTCTTTTAAAAACAATGGCGCTATGTTCTTTGGTTCTTTCGGTAAAGTCACGTAGAATGGGAATACAATAATAAATTAATAAAATAAAATAACAATATAATTCTCACGACGTTTCGGCCACAACACAAGTGGCCTTCATCTTGTGTTGTGGCCGAAACGTCGTTAGAATTTTATTGTTATTTTATTATTTTATTCTCATTCTACGTGACTTTATCTAAAGAACCAAAGAAGATGAATCCTTGCAGTCACGAAAGCTTTAAATCGAAATGGCGCTATGCCTCTAAATGAAATGTACGCTTGACCCGCTTCCGTGTTCCAAGTGTCCCTCGGAGGCGAATGGAACCCACCCTACAACTTGCAGACGTCTTGGAACGGGAAAGTGTTACTTTTCCATTAACGACCCTATTTTCAACTTTCCTATTTTATCTTTTCAACCGTTTATCCCTAAGCAGGCCTCCATCTGGGGCCTATGTCCTGTGTATCCACTCCTTCGGGTCCAATACCAATTGTGTAAGGACTGGGGTGTGATCACACATTTGAAAGTCCAGAATATTTACTTTTGTGACTGAGAGGGGGGTGTTTGACAACAAAAAGTTGTCTATCCTTGATAACGTACCGTGCACTCTAGACACGTATGTGTAATCTCTCTCCCCAGAATTCAAGGCCCTCCAGGGGTCTGTCAGATGATGGGCTGAGGAGATCTTAGCTCGGAGAGTCCTCTGTCTGGCTTGCACCTCCGTTTTTGGGGGATTTGACCTGGCTGATCCAGTTTGTTTTTACATTGTACAAGTAGCAGATTCATCTCTTTGATATTGCTAATTGCAGATTAAATACAACAGCTTTTAAGAAAATGTTTTTTTTGCAAACATTTTGATTCAATTGATTTCATGGATCAGATCGTGCAAGTAAAATGAGTGTCGTAAAAAACTCCACCTGACACAGCATTATCACGCAGCTAAAACTGACTGAAAATTCTGGTTGTAACTGCCAGTGAAACGTTGCAAATTGTTAAATGTTATGGGTAGCTCTCCAACACACCGGTGTCTAGAAGCACTCAGTGGCATGTTCACGTGACACATTTGTTGTCTGTCGGTTGGAACAGGGTGTACAACTCATTTTACTCGATATGAACCAAATATGGCTCATTGGTTGTGAAAGCCATTGTGTTAAATCTTATAGTGTTTGGGAAGGGCGCCGCAGTGGTGAGATGTTAACTCCCTTGCCTGGTGTGCAGGAGGTCGTGGGTTCGATCACGAACCGTGACGCCTGTGTATTTGGCGTTTGCGTATCTTCCTGTGGTCGTGCGGATTTTTCTCCGGGTCCTCCAGTTTTCCCCTTTACATTTAGAAACATCCGTTGTGAGTATTTGGCTGTTTAAAATTTCCACACGATAAACCACTTTGTTGAGCTATCATTTGTGGCCAGGTCGCTTCTGAAAAAAATGCTACGTTAGCTCAGTGGGCCTGACCTCGTAAACAAAAAAGAAAGTCTGTAAATGATATGTCCAGGTTTAGATTTTCTAGCCACGTGTTAAATAAAGACTTTAACTGACATGTTTGTAACCGGTTGTAATTTTTTTGTTGTTAAATTAGTCATTCAAAATAGTAGACTGCTCCAGGAGTAAGGTGACAGCTCGCAAACCGCTTAGAAACCTGGGTTCAAGTCTGAGCAGCAGCAGCCCATAGTTAAACCGGCTTCTCATGTGCAGTGAGTTGATGGTATACCAACAAAAAATATTTTTTTTTCTATTTGCTTTGGCCAAATTAAAGTTACGAAAATGTTATTAATATAGATGAATAGACTGTGTACGCGTCAGTTGGACCGTCACCGACATGGTCAGCCCCCTCTCTGTATTATGAACCAACGACCATCTAACGGCTTAACAATCAGTGGCGAGAGATATTGGAACCGGTCCTGAACAATCCCCACCCCTTCCTCCACCAACCCACTGTGACCAACGTGCTGAACCATGGTCAAAACAACCCCACGTGGACGACACCGCATGGTGGTGTCGGTGGCGGGGGGGGGCAAGCCCTTCACCGAATAGCAAAGGGGCCGTCCATAAATGACGTCACGCATGGGGGGGGGGGGTCAGACATTTGTGACGATGTGTGACAAGGGGGGGGGGGTTGAGAAATGTGACGTCACATCAAAATGCACAACTTTAAATAAATATAGACAACACGTTCTACTTAATTGAATAGACTTTTTAATAAATGTTTTCTCCTACAACAAGAGTGCAGCGCCACATTAAATACGCACTACAATGACAATAGTTTAAAGCGATTTGAAGCATGTTTTATTTTGGGGGGGGGGGCAGAGCTTTGTGACGTCATTTGAGGGGGGGTCTGACTTTTTGTGACGCCGTGTGATGAAGAGGGGGGGGAGGTAAAAAATCGTCCAAAATCGCTGTGACGTCATTTATGGACGGCCCCAAAGAGAAAACCGCAACGTCCGGCGTGTCCAAAGAGCGCCGCCCGTGTAGATGTGGTCAAATTGCCGCGTTCCCTAACTTCACCGGGTCCCGGAAACGGCGCCTGGCCGTGTGAAGAAGCAGCGGGCATTTTGGCCTCCGGTTGTTTCTTTTTCCATTTCGAGACCGCGGCTTCCAAAAACAACAACAACAACATCGTCGTCGACAACAACAACATCAGGTACGGAAAGTAAACAACATCATAGGCTAACGGCGGCGGCGGCATGAAACCGCGATAACATCAACATCGTCGGCTGCAGAACGCAAGCACCAAAAGTGGCGTGCACTGGTAAACTTAAACCCACACTTCTTAATTAAGCGAATTAATCACGGCTGTACGCGTAACGGGCGGGTCGCGTTCAGTGGCGAAGCCCTCCCGTTATAATGCTCCGGTAAACAGTGCAAACTGCCCCTTCTATGAATATTAGTAACGCAGGATTGTGAATTTAAATTGTATTTTCACGCGTTTTACGACGCACGTGCGTGTTCTGTCGTTAATAAAGTGCAAGTTATTAAAAACACGGGTGTTAATGTCGCCGGTTATGTATGAATGGGATTTATTTTTGCATGAGGTATAACCCGATTTTAAAATAATAATGCAAAGTCTGTTCCCAGTGTTGTTGGTCCGACGTTGCCAACAATCCATGTGGCAACGTTCGCACAACGTTGGGCTGGCTTATTCACCACTGTATAACGTGTTGAAATGGTCAGCCACGGGGGTAAGGGGCCGTCCATAAATGACGTCACGCGATTTTGGACGATTTTTGACCCCCCCCCCCATCGTCACACGGCGTCACAAAAAGTCAGACCCCCCCTCAAATATGACGTCACAAAGCTCTGCCCCCCCCCCAAACCATATTTCCATTTTGAAAATAAAACATGCTTCAAATCGCTTTGAACTATTGTCATTGTAGTGCGTATTTAATGTGGCGCTGCACTCTGATGTAGGAGAAAACATTTTTTAATAGTCTATTTAATTAAGTAGAACGTGTTGTCTATATTTATTTAAAGTTGCGCATTTTGATGTGACGTCACATTTCTCAACCCCCCACCTCGTCACACATCGTCACAAATGTCTGACCCTCCCCTAGGTGCGTTACGTCATTTATGGATGGCCCCTAAGGCTTTAAGTGACTTTGTTTAACCTGAACTCGCAACTTAACAGCCCTGTGTAAAACTAAAAAAAGCCACGATATGGAGGTCATGTTATAGTTATCGTGTGATATTTTTTAAAATCGCAACACACTCGTCATTTACGCCGCTTTGAACACGACGACGACGACAGTATACAGTGGGCGACGTTTCGGGCGATGGCCCTTCGCTGAGGAAGGGTCCATAAGAGGTTTTTGGGTTAGATCGCGTAAATATGAATGTGTCGTTAAACCCGCCACCACCCGACACAGACAATTAGTAAAGGTTTGTCACGTAAACAAAACACGCCAATTCGTTGCTAGTTCAGCACACCGATGTTGTTGGAGAGTAAAACCCACAACATTTACAATTCGAGTACGTTGTTTCATCAGGCGAATAGCCTGGCTGAACTAGTAAGGAATTGGCATGTTTACGTGACAAACCTTACTACAATGGGCTGTGTCGGGTGGTCTCGGGTTTAACGACAAATTTATGTTCTTAGTTCTTTCAATAAAGTCACGTAGAAGAGAAATAATAAAATAAAATAAATTAAACAATACAATTATCACGACGTTTCGGCCACAACGCAAGCAGTTGTCCTCGGCGTCCATTAGGACGCTGTCTTTCCGACAGCTCTGTTCTTGCGTTGTGGCCGAAACATCGTGAGAATTTTATTATGTTTTATTTTTATTATATTATTTCCCTTCTACGTGACTTCACTGAAAGAACCAAGAATATGAATCCCTGCAGTCACGAAAGCTTTAAATCGAGACGAATTTATATTTCCGCGATCTAACCCAAAAACCTCTTGTGGATATTGGTCGCGACAACCTCTGTGTTAAACTGAAGGGTCACTTGCCCAAAACGTCGCCTATTATATCATTTCATTTTAAGGCGGTGCTATTGACATGCTAAAGTGCAGCATCACAAAATAGTGTGCTATATATATTTTTTTATCATTTTCACTGTTGATGGCAGGCCAGTGTTTCCGTATGACGTGAAGCCTGAAACGTGTACCATATCTATGAAACGTGACTCGGGAATACCTTAAAGCTTTACAACGCCCAACATTCACCCATGGTGAATCACTGTGATCTGGCCACAAAGCTCTGAACGCCTCGGGGAAGACATCGTGGTGTTTGGGTTACTCCCCACAATCATATTATGTAACTCCCATATGCCAGAATCGCGAAAGAATAGTGTCCACATTTAAAATGAAAAATTTATTCACTTTGCAGCTGAAAGGTTGTTTGTTTTGTATGCGTCCATGTGGTTAAAGTATTTTTTTTATAAAATTGCTGCCCGTGTACCAAGCCCCACCAGAATGGCGTGTGCGGTGGCCACCCCGGTGCTGGAGCCGAGCGGAAACTTCCCGGCGTGGCTGGAGGCGCAGGGCGTGAACGCGGAGGTGGCCCGGGCCATGGACTCCGAGCTGGGCATCCGGGACTACGGGGTCCTGCGCGCCTGCGTCGGGGACGGCCTCGTGCGGGCCGAGCTGCTGTCCACGGCGCGCGACCGCCTGCCCTTCGGCTTCTACGCCGTGCTGCGGCAGGTGGTGAAGGCCCTGCAGGGCGCCGAGCACCACGACGCCGGGACGCCGTGCTGGGACGATGCCACCGCCGCCGTCACGTCCTCCCCTGGCGACGTCACGCTGGGAGGCCTGGTGGACGTGCTGCTCGCGCTGTTCAGTGGCTTGAGCCGGGAACTGCTGCTGTCCGTGCGGAGGCTAGGAACCATGGAAAATGTCGGAGCTGTAGATGTGGATTCGCATTTGATTTCTCCTGAGGACAATGTGGTTGACGAGACAGGTGAAGATGCGGCTCATGGTAAAGTCGTTCAGTTAGTGGAGGTGCTTCGTATATATTCGTGAATGCTCGTGGCATACTGATTATCCTGTAATATATGTTTAAGATAAGCCATGTGTAAATAATAATGCAGTGGTAGGTTTCTAAAATGCATATTTTTGCCACAGCCAGACTTAGAAATTGCAGTCAACTGTCCCTCATTGAGAGGTCACTCATTCTTCTCTGCTCCCCTTACTGTCTGCAACTCGCTTCCCGTCAGTTATCTGTGCAGCTGACTCGCTGTCCTTAGTAAATTCCAGGCTGAAGACCTTTTTTTTCCCCTCTCCCTGTGACTGCCTCTTTCTCTAAAAATAAATACGCCCACTGGTTTTGGGTATTGTGTCTTTGAGATACCGTCGCATTCAAATGCTATTTCAATCCATTGTGTTGGAACGATGCAATCCTGTAAAAACTTGGTAACCCACATTCGGTAACATCCTGGCTTCATTGAAACACACGATCTGCTTTTGATTTAAAAAAAATTACGTATCATGTTCACACAATGAACTTAACAATTCACTCACTATCCCCTCGATCCCCATGCTCTTAACAAAATACTACTTTATAGACAATGTATTGCGTCTTATTTTCCACTGTAAATTATCAGGGGGTAATTAATCCTCAGAATATGAGGGTAAACTGGCTGCATCTGCAAGGGGGGGGGGATGGGGAAATGTTAAGTGCCTAAAGTGTAACATGTCTCCATGTCTTTAGTGGCATATAAATAATATCACCTGTTTGGGTTTACCTTGTCTAAGATGTCACTGTCGTGTTCTTGAATCTTCCCAGATGAGGCTGGGGGGAATGCAGACTGGCAGAGAGAAGTCATCAGCCCAAGGCAGACATTACAAATGATTAAAGTAGAGGAAAGTGCAGGTAAGGCTGCACTAAACCAAACAAATCCAAACACCATAAATCATCTGCTTGGCTAGCAGATTCTTCAATAAGGCCTTTTAAAACACTAAGCTTTATGATCTTCCGTTTGTAACTGGTACAGCATATACCAACATTCTCAGGCATGTTTCTCTGGGTTCCATGCCGTCGCCAGTCTCCTCCATTGGATATCCTTTGTCGCACGGCAAACTTTCCCTAGCCCACTTTTTTTGGATGGACATCGTTTCGAATGTGCCTTTTCTCTTAATCCCAGTGTTCCTGTTTCTGTCTTGTGTTATTCCAAACGCGCATCGCCACGCTTCTTTTTTTGTAGGGGGGTGGGTTTTTTTTCAGAGGCCGCAGACATTTTGTTCAGATTGGACAAATGGGTATCGAAAACCAGAGTTTTCAGCGACTAGATCGGCGATGGGACTATACAACGGTGAATTCAAGTAGAACGGTGCGATGTTTTTCGGAACTTTTTACCAGATGACGATGGAGAGAGGCCAACATCAAGCGCGGAGGATTCGGACCCCATCACGGTGCTACGTAATTTAAAGACGGAGCCCTTTGATGGTAGAGTTGGATTATCATCACTGACCACACATTCTATAAAAATATTATTTACCAGGTAAGGCCTTGCTGAGCTATGTAGCGCTTTTTCAGAAGCGACCTGGCCAAAAATTATAGCTAAACTAAGTTGGGTTATCACGTGGAAATTTATAGCAGCCAAATACTCTTAAATGCACGTTGATTCTAAATGAGGGAAAAACTGGAGGACCCAGAGAAAAATCCACACGACCAAGGGGAGATGATGCAAACTCCAAATATACAGGCGTCAGGGTGGGGATTGAACCCATGACCTGTATACCAGAAGAGGTAGTTAACATCTCGCCACCACGGCACCATTCATATTGTCTATGACCAAATCACCCTAAATTTGCCAAATCTCGTTTGGATCTTGGAAGCTCAGCAGGTCTTAACCTGGTTGGTACCTGGATGGGTCACAACTGGGTGAGAAAAATCAGTGGCAAATAACATCTGAACCGATCCTAAATATCCTCCCTTTATCAACTAACACAGACCAAGTATGGTCAAACAACTGCCATGGTTGACAGTGTGGTGAGGCCTTCATCCAGCAGTCGAATGACTAAGGCATGTATATATATTTTCAGCTTGTTTTCTGGGCACTCCTATATCTTCCCAAACCCAAAAGAATACTTGAAAAAGGAACTTACTAAGCATTCTAGATGAGGACAATTCTGATCTTGACTGTTTTCTCGAGAGCCATTCAGGATATTTCTAGGTAATAAATACATATTTTAGTTAACATTCCATTACACTTCGGTAATTATATCTGTTATGATGTCCATTGCTCCTGAGTACATTCCAAGGGCCCAGCCCATTTATATGTATCCTCTTACGAGCAGAATTGAATTTTGGTTGTCTTATTGATGGAGTATCTGTCTTGTATTCGCACTATAGGTAAAAGTACTATTGAAGATTTTCCAAGATTCGTCCATCAAGAGGAGACCTCGTTTCAGGGGCTAGGAATATGTGTGGAAAACTCCACCAAGGTTGGCACTCACCCACAGGCGAATCAGCTGCAGCGAATGGACAACGAAACGCAAGACGACACCGATGAATTTGACAGGTCTCAGAGCACCAAGTGCTCAACTGAGGCATTCAGCGGCCATTGCTCCAACGAGGAAGAGATGCCGAACAGAAATGCTTTTCTGCCAAGCGACGAGCAAGGTTTTGCCTTTGAAAATCACGAACCATTTGATTTCCAGTCCTGCGCGCAGTGGCCTACAACGTCCGGTTCCCTGAACAAGGGAGTAGACGTGGCAGCGGAGAAGAAGCCTTACCAGTGCGCAGTATGCGAAAAGCGTTTTGCGCAGAACTGCCTTCTCAAGTACCACCAGCGGATGCACACGGGCGAGAAACCATTCCGCTGCAAGATGTGCGACCATTCCTTCACCCAGTCGTCCCACCTGAAAGCGCACCAGCGCACGCACACGGGCGAGAAGCCCTACCAGTGCAGTCTGTGCAGTCAGAGTTTCTCGCGCAGTCGCAATTTGAAAGCACACCAGCATACGCACACGGGCAAGAAGCCGTACAAGTGTGAGCTGTGCAGCAAAAGCTTCTTGCGCAGCGATAGCCTAAAGACCCACCAGCGCAAACACACGGGAGAGAAGCCATACAAGTGCACGGTGTGCAACCAGACCTTCGTGAAAAATTACCACCTGAAGGTCCACGAGTGCATGCACACGGGCGAGAAGTCATTCAAGTGCAGCATGTGCAGTAAGAGTTTCTTGCGTAGCGATAGTTTGAAGTCCCACCAGCGTACACACGCACGGGCGAGAAGCCCTACAAGCGCAGGGTGGGCGATTAGAGCTTCCCGTAGCCAAAGTCTTAACATCCACCAGTTCATGCATGCCGTGGGGACAAGTTATGATGCAAGACGCCCACTCAAACCTTCTTGCGCGGTACAGTTTTAAACACCTGTAATGAGAGAGCGCCATCCAGTGGGTGCCAGAGGATAACTGGGTACAGGCACTATTATGTAATCGGCATCCAGTCCGAAGAAAAAAATAACATCTGGGCCAAAGGTGACGGGCGGAGTCGAGAGATGCTTCGGGAACCATCGGGAAGGTTCCACGAGGGGGCATGGCTAGAGGCGGAGCCTAGCTCTGCGAAGCGGAGCCTAGCTCTACCTGGGGAAAATATAAGCAGGGGAGGGCTCGAGGTCGGTGTGGGGAGCCTGGGATCCGGACTGCGTCGCTGCTCGTCATTTCCTCTCTTCGCCACCGACTACGTAGCGGGTTCCCCAGTGAAGTTCGCCTCTTCTCTCCGGCACGCCGCCAACTGAGGGCGAGACGGGGGGAGCGGAGCGAACCTCGCTGGTGGACCGGAGAGAGACGCCTCGTCCATGGCGTTGTGAAAAGGGAAATTACCCGGAGAGGGAAGGAGAGGAACCGTTGCAGTGCTACAGTTAATAAAGAAGCACTCTTGCAACAATCGTCGTGGAAGTCGTTTATTACGCACATAACAGCCCACAGGGACTCGCACAAGCGGTTTAAACGAGAGGAGCCAATGGATGTCAGACCAACGTAGCATTCGTGAAGAATGTCAGGCTAATTGTCTGTAGAATAGTTAAACCGACGACCATTTGATTCACAAGCGAATGCGGAAAGTGGGAAAATGCGGGCCTCATTGAGCTGGATTGCAGACTTAACGCTTGGTTACTGTTCTAAAGTATTTTTAAGTTTTTGCGTTTTATTCTAATTTGTGTACACACTTATTTTGTTGCCATCATGGCACGGGGTGAGAAAATTCCACTTGGAACTCGCGCAGCTGTCGGTGCACCACCTTGTGGCATAGAACGGGACCAAGAAGATGACATTTGTCCACACAAGGGTCACTTTTTATAAGCAGAGTATATTCATCGCATGACAAATCAAATAGTTTTCGTTTTGTGAGAGCTGGAATATGCTGCAATACTGAAAATGTAATAAATTGGGTATTTTCCAGTCAACGGTGACCGACCTGAATCCATCCACCTGCTACACTTGAGAACCCAGTTTTAGTCACAGGCTCGTGTGGCTATTGCCCGACGTTCACACCCAGGGTCTGAGCAGTGCCGATTCGGTGCTTCCGACAGTTAACAAGTCCCTTTGAGCCACCTGGCCAACCTCTGCGTGTCAAGTGCTAGTCGCGGCGGTATTGTACACCAGCAGACACTGAACACGCTGTTGGTGATGCTGATATTGAAAGTTGTCTGACGGCTAGAGATTCCCGTTTGCACATGGAGCCGGTGTGAGCTTACCTGTAATTTAATCACACGAATAATTGCGCACTGCTAATAGCTACGGGGAGCAAGGTGCGTTTTATCATTAAAGTGAATGCAATGGTGATCAGAGATTGCACCCAAAAGCCCAACAGTTTACGGTGTACGACGCACGTTGCCAAGTTAGATTTGGGCAAATTTCGGACAGAAATTGAGCTGCGGTGTTGATGGGGAGTGGTGTTTCTGATCGCCATTGCAGATAGCACCACTGTTCTTCTGAGGAACACTTGGAAATAAGTTTCACCTTTTCACAAATCCCACCCGGGTGCTCAGCTCATACCTGTCAACCCCTCATCAGTGCCTACCTTATTACAGACCAATTCAGACCTTATTGGTAACACAGTGCCCCTTTTAAATCTCAACGTTCATCCTACAAAGTCCCATCACAACGGAGAAACACATGGTCAAAAAAATGTGTCCGGATTGAAACGGCTGTATGCCATATGGACCTGAAAACTCAATTTCTCCTGTACAAAAATACGGGTAAACCGTATGGGTTGACAAGTATGTCAGCTGTTGTGGAGTCGCCCACGACGCAGAGTACGCATCAACGCATCCGTCTCAGAACTGTATTAATTGTATTGTCGATTTAGCCAACCGACTCGCCCCCCCCCCACCTCGCAAATATTCACGATGGGAGGAAGAGGGGGCATGGCAGACCGGCTACACATGCACACGTTGATGTTTATTCCATGTTTTTCATGATGATTTTTCTCTTTTAGATTTACTGGCTTGTTCAATAAAGATTGTTCTTTAGAGGGGTGGCCGAGTCCATTTTATGCCATTTCCGGTGGTGATGAGTGCGCTGGGTGGAAGCCACGGGACATTTGTGTACACCAGTGGTTCTCAACATTTGCGATAGCCAGGTCGCTTCTGAAAAATACCTACATAGCTCAGTGGGCCTCACCTGGTAAAATAAAAGCCATTTAGTTCAGTTCTCAACCTTGTTTGCCTACTGACTTTTGTTTCAACAGAGTAATCCCCTTACCTGGCCCTCCATGATTCTGAAAAATAAAAGTGAATAATGAACTTAAATATTTTGACCACTTGAATCGATTGGCGGTAGCCCGGGTCACCGCCAAATATTGGTGGGTCGGGCATAGTTTAAGGTTTTTTTCTGGGAGCATCGCTGGTACTACCCTGTCCTGCCGGAGGGCGACGCGGGGAGCGATGATGACGACGATGTCGATCCAGCCAGCACGACCATGACCGCAGGCCGTACCAAGAGAGCGCCTGGTGCGCCATTGCCTCCAAGTGGTCTCGCTCCCAAAGACAAGGAGGGTGGCCGCCCCCGTAAGAAGCAGAACGTGCTGGGGAATGACCAGACCAGCATCCTGCTGTACTTTCAAAACAAGAAATAAACAGCCGTTGCCACGCACAAATCCCCAGCAGCCCCCCTTTTTTATGAGTGTTTTGCGTGTTTTTTTATTTCCATATTTGGCATTGCGTATCGGGCTCAGTGACATCTCCCGTCTTCATAGGCCTTCTGGTTTCGGAGTTATGGAGGTTTGGCACCCCCGGGTCACGATTGTGACTCGGGTCACCATCGATTCACTTGTTCATTTTGGGAGGTATCCTAACTAGCTAGTAATTGCAAGTGAATAAAAGACATTGAACAGACATTCAACTCTTGGAAACCACATTGTTTATGATTAATGAGTTTAAGTCTCTTATATCGTTCTAGGTTACCTTTTTGATTTGAAGTTTCATCATAGTTTGTTTATATTGGCAAATTCAAAAATTATTATTCACCAATGACTCGCGTATTATATAATTTCACACAAATAACCTCACGTACCCCCCCTCTCCTGTTGAGAACCACTGCTGTACACAAACCACTGCGATTGCACTTAAATATGCAGCGAGTCGACGCATGTTAAGGGTCATATTCAAGAGGCAATCCATAGTTCTGCTCTGAATAATTACCATTGCCAAACGTCCGGATCCCATTTCGTATACATTTTCTATGCATTTCAACTTATTTTCTCGGTGTTTGCAAGGCAATCTCGATGACAAAAGGTATACGTTTCTTTTATTATACTCCGAGTACGACACTTGCCTACCTTGGGGAGAAAAAAGCCAATCATCATCACCACGAAACAACAAACAGCAACATCGTAAAGGCGCAAACACATTGGGAGCGATTGATTTTTTTGCTCGATTGAGAGTTTGGGAGTGGTAGCACAGTGGTTCCATCTCCAGCGTTCTTCACGAATGTTAAGAGCGGGGAGCACTTTCGCCCATAAGACATCAATGTCAGGGCCACCCACACATTTGAAACCATTGGGTTTCACAGCACGATTGTGGAGGGTGTTTTCACATTAGGGTTATTGTCAGAGTCCGCACTAAAGGTCACCCAGTCCTGGATCAGGGCAGGGTACCTGACCTCACTTCCCGGGCACCCCCGCCCCCCCCCACCTTCCACAAGTGAGCTCCCAACTAAATAAAATCATCCACTTTTCCGACGTTTTACCCACGGACTACGAACCTGATGCAGGACTCGAGGTTTCCTTCGCTTTACCTTGCCGATCTCGTATAGGGAGCATAAACCATCACGCAAACTCCGGTCATCCTCGCAGCAGCGGCTTTTGGCGAAGTGATCGAACAAAGGCGGTTAACCGCATTGCGCGCTTTCAGATGCACTTCTGCGGCCCTCTGGAACGCTCTTCCTTCCGATATTAGGAAGCCACTGGAGCTATGCAACTTTTAATTATTTGTATTTCGTTTGTTGTCCTCCCCGACCACCTATGATTAGTACGGCTGGCAACGTACGGTGCAAAAGAAGTTAAACATGCGGTACATGCAGTAGATGCATTTTTTTTTTAAAAAGGACGCAACGCAAAACCTGCCCGGTAGCGCATACAGAACACAATTTCCCAAGTCCGACCGCCATAGCCGCATGGGTGAAATTAAATCGCCAATTCTGAATTTTGGGTGGAAACAGGTTTAATGTTGTATGTTTAACTTATTTCGTACCGTACTAATCGGATATGCGGGGGAAAGACAACAAACTAAACACAAAAAGCAGTTCTAAAAGAAATAAGTTACCCGCATATACGAGAAATCGCACAAACCAAACTCGCACTTTGGAGTAAAGTTGAATTTTGTTTGATAGGCAGGCACATGGGAGTGGGTAAAGTGATAGCCTTTGACTCCAATACTGTCCGGTCGGTGAGCTTCATTAGCACGGTTGGCTATGTACGGTGCGAAAGAAGTTCAACTTACATACATTTGTCAAGACCACGCGAGCACAATCTACGCATCCCAACGACAAGCACCAGAGAATACCAGGTAGTAGTGGATTCGGCAGTTGTAAGAGGAACACGCATCAGGAAACCAGCAGTAGCAACAGTGAAAAGCACCCAACAGTAGTGAACGGCGAACAGCAGCAGTAGTAGTGGATGAGCGTCATCAATTCACAATCAGAATATTTATAACTGGAAAAATTCGATGAGCTATAAAGCAATTCTTTTCCACAGATTTGTCCAGGAGATTACAGGAAGCACTCAGGACGCACAGCGCTCCCGGCAATTTAAAGTCAGTCACGCTGTTCTCGCAATGAAATAGCTTGTCGAAAAACCAGTTTTGCTCGCAGTACTGTATTACATAGTCGTGCCTGTGTTGGCCACTCGTGAAAAGAGGATTTCAGCTCGGCCTGTGGAAGCTCTGTGGCTCCCCCCCCTCTCCCTGTCGCCTACTGCCCTGGTGGGAGTGGAAGATGGTAGCCTTCACGGGGCCCGCTCTGTTAAGTGAGAATGCCTTCAACGCGGCAACCATCGAACATCGATCATCGATCTCCAGAGCGACAACACTGTCCTGGTGAACAGCCAATGACCGTAGCCGTCTCTTGCTGCGTTTCATCGCCGTCCGTCTCTTTGTTATCTTTTGCCTTCCAACTCTCTGGATGGGCCTCATTCAGACCACATACATCTTTTAAGTCTTTATCACACAAGTATGTTTTGATTGACTTTAATTATTTGCAAATTACTGATAAATGTACTAGCTGCAAAATGTATTATGCGCTGGGAGTCTATGGAAAAAATGCAACTCATAAATTTAGATTACTGCGCACGATTCCTTAATTTTATTTGTAGATGCGGTAGTACGAATTAGTCATGGCCAGTAATAAACAGGCTATCCATAGCCTCAGCGCAAGGCATCCTACCACCCTGGTGCTTTGCAAGAGATGCAATGTCGTTGTGCAGTACACTTAGCACAAGTTCCACCGCGGGCACTCACTGTCTTCAAGGAGTCAGCATAGCAAGGTGTTCTTCACTAGTTTTCAGAGGGAGGGGGCCACTTTCGCAGATATGACATAAGTGTGAAGGCCGCCACACATTTGAAACCATTGGGTTCGACAACACGAAGGGGTGTTTTCAAATGTTGTGTATTGCTGGGGGCCGCACGTCAGGGGCCGCACTAAAGGCCACCAGGGGCCGCACTAAAGGCCACCAGTGGCCCGCAGCACATGAGAGTTACATTGTAAAATTACAAAATCAAATTGACTTTGGCCCAGAGTTCCCAAGTCTCGTGGGAAAATAAGCAGCACTGTCTTTACAAAGCAGCCACCAAAATAATGTCAAGCTCGTGTCCAAAAGGAAAGGGGCAGAGCCTAAAGAGAAAGAGGTGGAGCCTAAACACCAGAGGGCAGGCATCCAATCTGAAAATACTAAACTAAACAAAAATAGGGATTTGCCCTCAGAAACCAATATCTGAGAAAATGTTAATTTGAAACTCATCACGAGTGGAGACTGTGTGCACATGTACATCTGTGCGAATTAATGTGTGTATAAAATAACGTGTGTTTGTTGAGGAAATACTACCCCCTTACTGTGTGGATCAGTGGTCACTTAAATGTATCTTGGGAGGTAGTTCTCTTTTACAGTAATACCCAGATTTAGGCCCTCCCATTTTGTGCTTTCGCTATAGCGTACCAAACTTCTTGATAGCCAATCCCATTTTGCGTACTGTGTGGAACCTTGCCCTAACGTACTCCAGATCCTCTGTGACCACTGGACATGTGGAAAAAAAGAGCTTCATAGCTCATCGGATTTCTCCAGTGTAAATTAATAAAGATTCGGTGATTTAACAACTTCACCATTTACCTCGTTCCATTCAAAAAAATAATTATGCTCGAAACTACCGTCGCATTTCTCGCTCCCCCGACTTGCTCAAGCCCTGTGGGTGCGCTCGTGACCTTTTAAGTGTTGACTCTGTTTGAAGCATTTGTTGCAGATCTTGCACCGGTAGGGCTTCTCCCCCGTGTGCGTGCGCTCGTGGACCCTCAAATTGCCAGAGTTTGAGAAGGACCGGTTGCACACGCTGCAGCGGAACGGCTTCTCTCCCGTGTGCACGCGATGGTGGTACCGCAGGAGCGAGCGCCACGCGAAACTCTTTTTGCACACCGTGCACTCGTACGGCTTCGCCGAGTTGACGTTCGCGCTCGCTTGTCGCGAACCGCACCCCACCATGTAAAGCTGGCGCTCCGCTGGATTTTCCTCTGCAAAAGCAGGATTCTGCCGCACATCGCTCGGCAGAGCCTCGGTAATGTTCAGTGGCGCTTGTCGCCCGTGAACATGTCGATTTGCTGGAGGGTGGGACGTGTACAAGCTGCGCAGAGAAATGTTTTCCACCTCGTCAACTTGACAGCTTCTTCGCATTCTGTCTCCTGTCTGCTGCTGCTGTTGTTGCTGCTGCTGCTGCTGTTGCCATGAACATGAACCAACGTCACCAACGTCATCAACATCATCAACTTCACCAATGTCACCAACATTCGCAAAATGGTTTCCCATTGCTTGGAGTGAAACCACATCTTGCACTGAATTGCCTTCGATGTCACTTGAACCTGTATGGGCATACCATTGAACATGTTATTAAGAAGCCATAGGCAGTTAAGCAAACAAAAATCAGACATTTGAAAATGCTTCACATTTGCACTTGAGTTGATACAGTAACTTCTGTTTCATACCCTTGTGGCCAGTTCTGGAAGGGACTCCATGCCAACTGTTGTCTCTTTATTCTCCCATTTGATTTAGTAGCGACCAGAGTAGAACTGAACTAAAAACTTCAACCGTTAACAAGATATACAGTAAAACCTTGGATTGCGAGTAACTTGGTCTGCGAGTGTTTTGCAAGACGAGCAAATTTTTTAAATAAATATTAATTTGATAAACGAGCGAGGTCTTGAAATACGAGTAGTACGTATACGCTTTGTCTGCCGAGCGTCACGTGATCACAACTGATATACGACTGCTTTGATATACGAGTGCTTTGGATTACAAACACGTTTCCGGAACGAATTATGCTCGCAAATCCAAGGTTTTACTGTAGTTGCTTTCGATTTTGGACTCTAATCAAAAACCAAAATGAATTTACTTTTCACAAAGGAACAAAAACCATTATACATAATTTAGGTAACCAGTTTTAACCATTTCATGCATTGGATATCCAAATGTTGTTGTCACCAGCTGTACGTGCATACCATGCTGTGCATCTGCACTATAAAAAGTCCACTTGGAAACTCATTTCTTTATAACTGTCTTTCTTGTTTAGTTTATCCGTCCCCCGCACCTCCGATTAGCACGGTTGGCTACGTACGTGCAAAATAAGTTAAACATACCTTTCCCTCAAGAAAACGGTAATGGTGCAATTTGCTGTGGACTCTCAAATCAATGTGCTTCTCCGATGTGTTTTCGGTTTGTATTGCGTGTTCGGCATTATGAAATTTAGGACGTATGCATTCCCTCGGCAGTACAGAGAGCAGAGTGACACACAGCACAGATACAGACAGTGATAGACACAGAGATGTAGAAACACAGAGGTGAATGTTGCAGCAATGGTGCAGTGGGTTAACACACTAAGCTAAAAACCCAGCCCTGAGTTTGATTCACGGCCATGGCTTTTACTTGTGGCAGGTGAAATCTGAAGCAGTCCTGAGAACCACCTTCACCAACTTGCATCAAGCAGCTTGGTGAAGTATGGTCAATAATTATCATGACCAACGTGGGGTGGGGGAGGCCTTCATACAGAAGTAGATTGACAAAAGGATGAATATTATTATTATTAGAGGGGAATGGAAAACGTTAAAATTGGGTTTATAATTTGGTTTTACCTTCAAGGGCTTCCGTCTTTATGAAAGGTGATGCGTCCACAGCTTGCGATTCTCCCATATCTGGAATGAAGTTCTTCTCACCTTCATCTGTATGAAGCATAATGCATTTGCGGGTTTATTTTCCAAACCTATGCATTATTTTACAAGTTTACGAAATACAATGGCTGAATACCATAAATGAGATATTTAGTGTTATCAAATAAGTTTAGACTTAAAACTTTCGTGACTGCAGGAATTCATACTCTTGGTTCTTTCGGTAAAGTCATGTAAAAAATAAATGAAAATAAAATACAAATGAAAATAATCAAATAAAATTAAAATAATAAATTGAAAGTAATGAAAACAAAAAACCCACGACGTTTCGATCGCAACACAAGCGGTCTTCATTAGGCGGAGAGAAAAGTGGGGACAATCCTCATAAGCAGCTACATTTGGAGGCTTGCCCCCACTTTTCTCTCCACCTGATAAAGACTGCTTGTGTTGCGATCGAAACATCGTGGGTTTTTTGCTTTTATGACTTTACATTTATTTATTTTGTTATTTTATTTTTACTTTTATTTTCACTTTTTGATTTTTTTTCTTCTATTTACGTGACTTTACTGAAAGAACCACGATTATAAAATAAGGTCGGCGAACAAGAATACAACTTTACCGTTCACTTTGTAATCTTCAATTTCATTCATCACACTGTTCTCAGGGAAAACGACAGTGTTGGCTGAAGGGGAGCCAACAGAGCATATTCCAGTGTTATCAATGTCTCCCAGCCTCTGCACGGACAGCAGCAGCTCCCGGCTCAAGCCGCTGAATAGCGCGAGCAGCACCTCCACCAGGCCTCCCAGGGTCACGTCGCCAGGGGAGGAAGCGGTGGCGTCGTCCCAGCGCAGCATCCCAGCGTCGCGGGGCTCAGCACCCTGCAAGGCCTTCACCACCTGCCGCAGCACGGCGTAGAAGCCGAAGGGCAGGCGGTCGCGCGCCGCGGCCAGCAGCTCCGCCCGCACGAGGCCGTCCCCAACGCAGGCGCGCAGGACCCCGTAGTCCCGGATGCCCAGCTCCGAGTCCATGGCCCGGGCCACCTCCGCGTTCACGCCTTGTGCCTCCAGCCACGCTGGGAAGTCCCCACTTGGCTCCAGCACTGGGGTGGTCACCATGCATGCCATTCTGATGGGACGTAAATATTTGAAAACAGTGATGAATGCATTGAAGACAAGAAACTTCTCATAACCACCGTGGAGGTGCAGCGATGAAATCAGTTTACGCGAAGATGGATGGAAGCAGCATTGAACTGCGAGGGATGCCGACGGCATGTGGATGAATCCTCCAGCAGTGAACAGACAATGGCTGATGATGTTGAGTGCACATTGAGACTAATTCTCTTTTAAGGGGGAGATAGATGGCCTTATGAGCCCTTCTATCCGAATTTCATTCCAGGAAATTGCCAGCATCAGTGCCGAATGATGTCTAACCTGGTCCCCTGGCCATTGACCAACAGCTGAAAATCATGATCAGGTTTAGAACATTGTCAAGTTAAACATATTAACACAGGTTAACTGAAATGCAAGTAATGGGCAGGGGAGGTAGCATCGATAGAATTGGTCTTTGAAGCTGCAGTAAAACCCCGGATTGCCGGACCGAGAAGCTTAGTGCTCTGGGGCCTGATTACATAAAAAAAAATCGCAAAATAATTCCGAGCAGGCAGCGGTATGTGTGTCTCAGCCATACAGTGGTCGCTAGGGATGACATCATCACTACACCAGCCAATTAGCTGCCAGGAAAGTCATCCTGATGTAATATGGCTGCCGTTGATGCACCAAGTCCCCACCCCCATGCGACAGGGCCCCCGGTGAAGTCAGTTGGTTTTGTTTTTTTAACAAAGTCAATTTAACACGCAGCTGGGCATTTGGAGGCAGTCCCTATTCACCGTAAACAAAGACAAAAATCCCCCGTGTAGCCTGTAACAGACTGTCGGGGCAAGTGCTGTTAGCGAGCACCTATGAAGGCCGGAACGGCACACGAGGGGGTGGGTGGCCAGCACCACGCCCGACCGCCTTTGTCTCCCCAGTGGCGATGTTTACACATCGCACCAGGTACTCATTTAAGGCTGAGTCGATCTAGGGGAGGCCCAGGACCGGTTCAAATAATCGTCACTGGGGTGTTGGCCGTGAGCGGGAATGGAAGTCGGGTCGCCAGGTTCATAGTGCAGCGCGCTAACCGCTACACGATCGCTCTCCACACAGACACAGACAAAAACACACACAGACAGACACAGACAAACACGCAAACCCACACAGACAGACAAAGACACGCACACACACAGACACAGACAGACACAGAGACTACGTACGCGATTCCGTTTAGTCTCCGGGCCCAGGCAAGCTTACGACGATGTTGCTGTAACGGATGATGATGTTTATTTGTTGTAGTAGTAGGTGTTGTTGCTGATGTGGATGATAACGTTTTTTGTTACACTCACGAAAGGCAGTCGATGTTGGAAGCGGCGGCCTCAAAAGGAAATAAATAAAAACCCAACCCGAATCACCAAATCGCTCCTACAGCTGCCTCCTTTTATAAAAAAAAAAGTCAGGGACCGCGGCGATTTGACACCCACTCGATTCTGCAGCAGTATCGATGAAACCCAACACCCAGGCACGCACGTTGAACTTCTTTCGCACAGCACGTCGCCCAACCGTGATAATTATACTCGGGAGGTGCAGCGTTGAGTTGATGGGCAATGTTGAGTCTATGGATAGTTGTTAGTGTACGGGGCCGTCCATAAATGACGTCACGCGATTTTGGACGATTTTTAACCCCCCCTCGTCACACGGCGTCACAAAGTCAGACCCCCCCCTCAAATATGATGTCACAAAGCTCTGCCGCCCCCCCAAACCATATTTCCATCTTGAAAATAAAACATGCTTCAAATCACTTTCAACTATTGTCATTGTCGTGCGTATTTAATCTGGCGCTGCACTCTGATGTTGTAAGAGAAAACGTTTATTACAAAGTCTATTTAATTAAGTATAAAGTGTTGTCTATATTTATTTAAAGTTGCGCATTTTGATGTGACGTCACATTTCTCAAACCCCCCCCCACCCTCATCACACATCGTCACAAATGTCTGACCCCCCCCCCCCAGGTGCGTGACGTCATTTATGGACGGCCCCCATGATAATAGGGTTTTCCCCTTTCTGGCAATAAAACAGGTGTTCAGATGTTAAAACACCAAACCGAAACCTTTGCAAGGAATCATGTCTGCATTAACCACATATACTTGCGGTGAAAACGGTATTAGACCGGAGGGTGGACGCCAAAAGACGAACAGCACAAAGACAACGCCACTACCAGGACATTGAGAGCTCGGGGTGAGCAACTGCATCACGAGACCTCCTTTGCCAGTATTACATTATTGTCTTTGTGCTGTTCGCCTGTTGGCGTCCTCTGGTCTCTATATATGTCTGTGTTTAGATGATTAATTTAGGTTTAAGGGAAAAACCATGAGCAATTAGTAATTTATGTCAAAATTTCAGGTGCGCGATTAAACCGCAAACCGGATAAACCACACGCGGATAGTCGAGAGAGTCTACTGGTCAAATAAACCACCACTCACACATACAGTGAGGGGAAAAAGTATTTGCTCCCCTGCTGATTTTGTACGTTTGCCCACTGATAAATGATCAGTCTATAATTTTAATGGTAGGTTTATTTGAACAGTGAGAGACAGAATAACAACAAAATCCAGAAAAACGCATGTCAAAAATGTTATAAATTGATTTGCATTTTAATGAGGGAAATAAGTATTTGACCACCTCTCAATCAAAAAGATTTCTGGCTCCCAGGTGTCTTTTATACAGGTAACGAGCTGAGATTAGGAGCACACTCTTAAGAAAACACTCTTAAAGGGAGTGCTCCTAATCTCAGCTTGTTACCTGTATAAAAGACACCTGTCCACAGAAGCAATCACTCAATCAGATTCCAAACTCTCCACCATGGCCAAGACCAAAGAGCTCTCCAAGGATGTCACGGACAAGATTGTAGACCTACACAAGGCTGGAATGGGCTACAAGACCATTGCCAATCAGCTTGGTGAGAAGGTGACAACAGTTGGTGTAATTATTCGCAAATGGAAGAAACACAAAAGAACTGTCAATCTCCCTCGGCCTGGAGCTCCATGCCAGATCTCACCTCGTGGAGTTGCAATGATCATGAGAACGGTGAGGAATCAGCCCAGAACTACACGGGAGGATCTTGTCAATGATCTCAAGGCAGCTGGGACCATAGTCACCAAGAAAACAATTGTTAGCACACTACGCCGTGAAGGACTGAAATCCTGCAGCGCCTGCAAGGTCCCCCTGCTCAAGAAAGCACATTCATGCCCGTCTGAAGTTTGCCAATTAACATCTGAATGATGCAGAGGACAACTGGGTTAAAGTGTTGTGGTCAGATGAGACCAAAATGGAGCTCTTTGGCATCAACTCAACTCGCCGTGTTTGGAGGAGGAATGCTGCCTATGACCCCAAGAACACCATCCCCATCGTCAAACATGGAGGTGGAAACATTATGATTTTGGGGGTGTTTTTCTGCTAAGGGGACAGGACAACCCATCACATAAAATTAGATTCTGCACTTAATTTGGCTAAATGTAATTCTGAAAATTAAAATGTTTCACTAAGTGGAAAGATGGTAGGGAAAAGCACTACCACCTTACCCTCTACTGTGTGCACCATAGGCCACGAGGATGGATTTGATCTGCTCAAGTAGGCCGTTCTCTGGCACAAAGGGTTGCACTTCTATGTGAGAGTTCTGAATGGATAATTTTCTTCATGACCTGATACTGATAGCACAATTATTGAAAATCAGAATATGTATTTATACTGGAGGAATTCGATAAGCTAGCTCTTTTTCACAGATGTTCAGTAGTTTTCACAGATGTCCAGTAGCACAAATCAATTATGCACAAATCAACAATCGTATTTCTTGTACCACTATTTCTGCTCAAGGCTTGTGCGTGCGCTGGTGACCTGTTAAGTGATGACTGCGCGAGAAGCTGCTGTTGCAAATATCACAACGGTAGGGCTTCTGCCCTGTGTGCGTGCGCTCATGGACCTTCAGATTGCAAGACTGCGCAAAGGACCGGTTGCACATTTCGCAACGGTAGGGCTTCTCTCCCGTGTGTATGCGTTGGTGATATCTAAGAAGTGAGAGCCGCACAAAGCTCTTCTTGCACACCGTGCACTCGTATGGCTTGTTCACCAAGTTAACATTCCCGTTCGCTTCCAGCGACGTTAACGTGTCCAGCTGGTTAACTGATCGGTCGGCCTCTTCAACAGCAGGATCCTGCCGACTGCTAGGCAAATCCTCGATTGCGTTTGGTGGTTCCTGTCGCCCGTGATAGTGTCCAGTTTTTGCAGAATTATTATCCGTATCCATTTCACTTCCAGTCCTCTGCCAATTGTGATACTGCTGCAGCCGTGAACACGAAGCAACTTTTTCGGAGTTTGCGAAGTTCAGTCCCATCCCTTGTAGTGAAACCACGTCTTGCACAATGAACCCCGAATTTTCTTCAATGCCACTAGCACCTGTGTGGGGGAAAACAATACAAAAAAATGTGTTACTAACAGAACAGCATCAGAAATTGGGATTCTGAGAAAGAAAGAAGTAATAAGGCTGCAAAGTGTTGAGATGTGGGTTTTGATGTCAAATGGATTAATTAAATTGAGTGGAATGAAAGGAGTTACATAGTTGGAACAACCCACAAAAGAAAATATAAACGGATTGGGCACATTCTCTGAGGAGAAAGCTTTATGAAATAGGAAATAGGTTCTCAAAGGATGTTGGGTATATGTCAAGAGCCTTAACAAGAAAGATGCAGCTTGGATTTACAAAAAGGCGGTGGCAACTGTACAGAGAGGCGAAGACATATCATGATTGGACATGATTGAGGGGGTATGAGCCAAGGACCTCTGATTATCACAGTTGGTTACGTACAGTGCGAAAGAAGTTCAACGTCCATACATACAGGACAAAAAAACACGAAAACGAAGCAGTAAACTCTGCAATTAAAGTTCACCATCTGTAGCAAATGTTTGATTTATTTTAGAATGTACCCAGCGTCATTGACACTCGACCGGATACAATGACTTGTCCAATTCTCGACTTGGTCGATTTTGAAAGTGATTCAAAGCAGTGGGTTTCTAGCCGTGCGTCCATCGTGTCTTTATTCTCTGATTTAATTTCGTTGCGATTATTTAAAAAAATAACTACCACTTAAATAACCGATTTAAAATACATTTTATATATATTTTTTATAAATCAGTTTTCTTTAAGTCTAACGTATATTACCTGTTATATGGATCCAAAACACGGAAGAGGAATAAAATAGAAAAACTAAAAAGTACAAAATTAAGTATGGAGAGAAGAAGATACACAGAGATAGGAAGATATGGATCAGATAACTTATGGCAATAATGGGAGTCATATTCAGTTTAACACGTATGCTTTCGCAACCAATGTTATCTGTAAGAGGTATTTTTGGGTTAGATCGTGGAAATTTATAAATGTGTCGTTAAACCCGCCACCACCCGACACAGCCATTTTGTAAGATTTGTCCCATAAACAAAACGTGCCAATTCATTACTAGTTCAGCACACCGGTGTGTTGGAGAGTAAACCCACATTTACAATTTTGGTAACTACAACTGACTTCATCTGGCGATAGCCAGAAACGTGGACAATTCCTCCTGTTTTGAGTCATTTACTGTAAAAAAAAGAATGGGCTTGGGCAGTACAGTCTGCTAAAGCATATAAGGGCCGGTGGTCGAGGCTAAAAAGAGTGGCAGCCAAAGCAGGCAACATGTCCGAGATGATGCCCACCATGGAGATGCAGCGATGAAATCATCTCGTGTGCAGGAGTTTGATAGACTTTCATCGCGAGACTCTGAGAGATATTTTTGTTTTTTTCGGTAAAGTCACGTAGAAGGGAAACAATAAAATAATAAAAATATAAAACAATTAAATTCTCATGACGTTTCAACTGCAACACAAGCAATCATCATCAGGTGTGAAAACCACAGCAAAAAAAATTTAAGTGGCTTTTTTTACGTTAGCACCACGGAGAGCGATTTGGCAGTTATTCAGATGGACGAGTCCATCTATGTTCGGAAAAGAGGAGGGGGGAGATGAAAATAATGGATGCGGTCTGAAAGCCACCGTATGCGTGAACAATCAATTAAGACCAGAAATGGTTTATTAAATCCTTCCAATGATTGCTACGCCAGAATCCATCTTCTCGGTTGAAATTGTCTCTGTGTTTGTATATGTGGATAGCCTCATGAACGAATCTCTCATGGTAGCCAGATGGCTTGCAGGGAACCTCTGTCTTGGAGAAGTCAATGTCATGTGAGCCTACTGAATTATAACAGTGATCTGCCACGGCCGAGGTGTTGGTCCTACCGTGTTTTAGGTCTGCTTTGTGTTCACGGATGCGGTCCGAGACATGTCGTTTGGTTTCTCCAATGTAACTACTACCATAGAGGCAACTTAGTTTGTAGACACCAGGGCACTGTATGTCCGGAATCACATCTTTTACAGACGGAACCAGATCACGGATTTTATGTAATGTGTTGAATCGGACCTGGATCTTGTGTTTATTCAAGATTTTGGAGATTTTTTTGTGATCCCGGCAATGTAGGGTAAAGTGATGGTTTTGAATGGCTCCTCAAGAGGGTCCTTCTTCATGGTTGGAGTGATAGCTTTACGGATTGTGTAGTCGGAGTAACCATTAGCCTTAAGAGCTTGGTGTACGTGCTTGAGTTCACTGGCTATGTGTTCCTGGTCGGATATGCATTGGGCTCTTTGGTGCAGAGTCTTGATGAGGGAATTCTTCTGGGATAGATGGTGGTGGGAATCCGGTTTCAGGTAAGCATCCGTATGGGTAGCTTTCCTGTAGACAGAGTGGCTCATTGAACCATCAGGTCTCTTTTTTATTAGGACATCCAAAAAAGGTAGCTTGCCATATCTTTTTCAACTTCCATGGTAAATCTGATGGCTGGGTGTATGGAATTGATGTAGTCGAGGAATTGGTCTAGAGCAGGCCGGCCATGTGGCCAGATGACAAAAGTGTCATCCACGTACCTCTTCCATAAGGTTGGGCGCAGAGTGGCAGTCTGGATGGCGTCAGTCCCAAATTTCTCCATGAAAATGTTGGCTACAACCGGAGATAGGGGGGAGCCCATTGGGGTACCCTCAGTTTGTTTGTAGAAAGTTCCATTCCAAGTGAAGTATGTATTGGTTAAGCAGTGTCTCACCAGGGGGGGTACCTCAGTGTTTAGTCCTTGATGAACCAAGTCTTCAATGATTGCGATGGTGTCAGGTACAGGAACTTTTGTGAATAAGGAAACTACATCAAAACTGACAAGCAGGTCGTCTGGGGACAGGGAAATACCCGTGATTGTCGATACCAGGTGAGCAGAATTTTGTACCGCAGAGGTGGTTTTTCCAGTGAAAGGCCGCAGGATTTCAGACAGAAAACGAGCCAGTTTGTAGGTGGGGGAGTTGATAGTAGAGACGATGGGACGAAAGGGTGTATCTACTTTATGTATTTTTGGTAAGCCACATAATCTTGGTAGCCTGGCAGCAGAAGGTTTCAACGAGAACTGTTTGGATTGATCAATTAATGCGGTTGAATTAGAAATGATTGTTGGTTTGTATTACGAGGCTGTTGGTGGGATCGCTTTTTATTTTTGTTGTTATATTCTATTTTATCCATGATGACAGTGGCATTGCCCTTGTCAAATGAGAGGATGACAATGTCATCCCTTTTCAATTTATATAATTCAAAACGCTCATCTTTGCTGAGGTTGCTAGCTGGCATCTTAGCGTTTTTGAGGGTTGCAGCGATTTCAGATCTTGCTACGTCTGCAGCGATGTGACCCAGGCCCTTGAGCGCCACGTCTACTTGGGCAATGATATCATTAACTGGTATGTGTTTAGGTGTGACTGCAAAGTTTAACCCTTTAGCTAAAACGGATTTCAGACCATCGGAAATAGAACTGTTACTGCGATGAATTACGACTTTGTTAACGTCTAGCTTTTTGGTGTGTGGATCCGGTCTTTTGTTGGAGAGGATAAATTTGGAAATCAGGTTGTCCTTACATTTGGTCGACATAGTGGCAGATGAAGAGGCAGTCATATTGTCTACATGTTCCCAATCCGATGTGGACATTGTTGCCGTCAATGATATGTGTGAATTGTAGAGTGTCTTGTCTAACTGATCTAGTTCGGTGTATATACGTCTGATTTTCTCTGAGATAAGAGCTAAGCTGGTTCTGAAAAGAATTCGTTTCACATTGGAAAAAGTGACAGCAGCAGAGGTCAGTGTAAATGCGATTGGTATTACCCCAGAGTCGCGGCATTTCTTCAGAAAGGTGAGAGACTCGATCAGCTGAGCCTTCTTATCCTGGAGTTGGTTGAAGGATCTCAAAGTTATGTGGAAACCCTCCCCGTAGAGGTGGTTACATTTTGATTAAAAGCTTTCGTGACTGCAGGGATTCATATTCTTGGTTCTTTTGGTAAAGTCATGAAGGGAAACAATAAAATAATCAAAATATAAAACAATACAATTCTCACGACGTTTCGACTGCAACACAAGCAATCATCATCAGGTGTGAAAACAACAGCAAGAAAATTTGAAAAAAGTGGCTTTTTTAACGTTAGCACCACGGAAAGTGATTGGGCAGTCATTCAGATGGACGAGTCCATCTATGTTCGGAAAAGAGGAGGGGGGAGACGAAAATAATGGATGCGGTCTGAAAGCCACCATAAGCGTGAACAATAAATTAAGACCCGAAATAGTTCATCAAATCCTTCCAATGATTGCTAAGCCAGAATCCATCTTCTCGGTTGAAATTGTCTCTGTGTTTGTATATGTGGATAGCCTCATGAACGAATCTCTCATGGTAGCCAGATGGCTTGCAGAGAACCTGTCTTGGAGAAGTCAATGTCACGTGAGCCTACTGAATTATAAATGATCTGCCACGGCCGCGATGTTGGTCCTACCGTGTTTTAGGTCTGCTTTGTGTTCACGAATGCGGTCCGAGACATGCCGTTTGGTTTCTCCAATGTAACTACTACCACAGAGGCAATTTAGTTTGTAGACGCCAGGGTACTGTATGTCCGGAATCACATCTTTTACAGACGCAACCAGATCACAGATTTTATGTAATGTGTTGAATCGGGCCTGGATCTTGTGTTTATTCAAGATTTTGGAGATCTTTTTTGTGATCCCCGCAATGTAGGGTAAAGTGATGGTTTTGAATGGCTCCTCAAGAGGGTCCTTCTTCATGGTTGGAGTGATAGCTTTGCGGATTGTGTAGTCGGAGTAACCATTAGCCTTAAGAGCTTGGTGTACATGCTTGAGTTCACTGGCTATGTGTTCCTGGTCGGATATGCATTGGGCTTTAGGGTGCAGAGTCTTGATGAGGGAATTCTTCTGGGATAGATGGTGGTGGGAATCCGGTTTCAGGTAAGCATCCATATGGGTAGCTTTCCTGTAGACAGAGTGGCTCATTGAACCATCAGGTATCTTTTTTATTAGGACATCCAAAAAAGGTAGCTTGCCATCTTTTCCGACTTACATCGTAAATCTGATGGCTGGGTATATGGAATTGATGTGGTCGAGGAATTGGTCTAGAGCAGGCCGGCCATGGAACTTTCTACAAACTGAGGGCACCCCAATGGGCTCCCCCCTATCTCCGGTTGGAGCCAACATTTTCATGGAGAAATTTGAGACTGACGCCATCCAGACTGCCACTCTGCGCCCAACCTTATGGAAGAGGTACGTGGATGACACTTTTATCATCTGGCCACATGGCCGACCTGCTCCATAGAGCCCAATGCATATCCGACCAGGAACACATAGCACTTACACCAAGCTCTTAAGGCTACTCCGACTACACAATCCGCAAAGCTATCACTCCAACCATGAAGAAGGACCCTCTTGAGGAGCCATTATAAACCACCACTTTACCCTACATTGTGGGGATCACAAAAAAGATCTCCAAAATCTTGAATAAACACAAGATCCAGGTCCGATTCAACACATTACATAAAATTCGTGATCTGGTTGCGTCTGTAAAAGATGTGATTCCGGACATACAGTACCCTGGCGTTTACAAACTAAGTTGCCCCTGTGGTAGTAGTTACATTGGAGAAACCAAACGACATGTCTCGGACCGCATCCGTGAACACAAAGCAGACCTAAAACACGGTAGGACCAACACCTCGGCCGTGGCAGATCACTTATAATTCAGTAGGCTCACATGACATTGACTTCTCCAAGACAGAGGTTCTCTGCAAGCCATCTGGCTACCATGAGAGATTCGTTCATGAGGCTATCCACATATACAAACACAGAGACAATTTCAACCGAGAAGATGGATTCTGGCTTAGAAATCATTGGAAGGATTTGATAAACCATTTCGGGTCTTAATTGATTGTTCACGCTTACAGTGGCTTTCAGACCGCATCCATTATTTTCGTCTCCCCCCTCCTCTTTTCCGAACATAGATGGACTCGTCCATCTGAATAAGTGCCAAATTGCTCTCCGTGGTGCTAACGTTAAAAATAAAATGCCACTTTTTTCAAATTTTCTTGCTGTGGTTTTCACACCTGATGATGACTGCTTGTGTTGGAGTCGAAACGTCGTGAGAATTTTATTGTTTTATATTTTTCTTATTTTATTGTTTCCCTTCTACGTGACTTTACCGAAAGAACCAAGAATATGAATCCCTGCAGTCACGAAAGCTTTAAATCAAAACTCTGAGAGATGAAGATGACTTTCAAAACCTTAACCCATCGGTGGATTGATCATGGCTGATGGTGATGATGAAGAGCTAGAAACATATCTGTGATATGACTGCAAAAATTGGAAAAATTGTTCAAACGTGGGCTCTATAATTCGGCTTTACCTTCAAGGGCCTCCGTCTTAATTGTAGATGATTCATCCACAGCGTTCGAATCTCCCAAGTCTGGAATCAATTCCTCGCCATCCTCGTCTGCATAAAATCACAATGTATCAGCAGCTTTATTTTCCAAAACTAAGCATTCCTTCATATGCTAATGCCAGACGTGACATCAAATAATGAACATATAGATGTGTCGCTAAATCCACACATAGCATACAGTAAAACCTGTAGTAAGCTGAAATTTGGGGTAAGCCAGAAGGCTACTTGAATAATCACTGATGTATGTTGAACTTCTTTCGCACCTTATATAGCACCGTATGTAGCTAACCGTGCTAATCGTAGGTGCAGGAAAACAAAGTAAACAGTATAAAATATACAGTACAAGCAAAGCAACACTGTTATGCTAGCGTGGTAGGAAATGGTGTGCATAAGTTCACTCGTAATTCTAAAGCTTGGTTCTTGTCTGGTGTATGGAATTCGGTGAATCCATTCACTTGGAACCCCTCGTGCTTAGCCAGGTGTTTTCGTTCTTTTTATTCTCAACTTAGATTTTACATTCATGTTGCAAATAAATTATCTTCAGCCTTCCACAACCAGTAAACCTTAAGCCTTCCACCTCTGTTTTAGGGTGACGTTGACTCCGGTTAAACAGTTAAACTGTACCTAGTGATGTTATTTTGCATTACACTGTAAAAAATGTGATCGTAAATAGTTATTTGAATATATTAGATGTTCATTTCGTGTAAATATCATTCAAATGTAGTCCTTAAGTATTATTTTATTATTTGCATAATTCCAGACATCCCCCATACCTAAAAAGGTCATGTTAATTAGTCTGATTTTGAGAGGATCTACTACTATATAAGGATTGAGATATCACGACCAACTGCCTGCTTTAAATAAACATTTCACGTGTTTAATAAGTTCAGCGAAAAGAATACAAATTTACCGTTCAGTGTGTAATCGTTAATTTCATTCATCACACTGTTCTCAGGGGAGACGACCGGTTTGGCTGAAGGGGAGCCAACAGTGCACATTCCGGTGTTATCAATGTCTCCCAGCCTCTGCACGGACAGCAGCAGCTCCCGGCTCAAGCCACTGAACAGTGCGAGCAGCACGTCCACCAGGCCTCCCAGCGTCACGTCGCCAGGGGAGGAAGCGGCGTCGTCCCAGCGCGGCGTCCCAGAGCCATCGTGGTGCTCGGCGCCCCGCAGGGCCTTCACCACCTGCCGCAGCACGGCGTAGAAGCCGAAGGGCAGGCGGTCGCGCGCCGTGGCCAGCAGCTCGGCCCGCACGAGGCCGTCCCTGACGCAGGCGCGCAGGACCCCGTAGTCCCGGATGCCCAGCTCAGAGTCCATGGCCCGGGCCACCTCCGCGTTCACACCCTGCGCCTCCAGCCACGCCGGGAAGTCCCCGCTCGGCTCCAGCACCAGGGTGGCCACTGCACACGCCATCTGGGAGACCAACGTTAATTCAAAGGGATTCCTTACCCAAGTGAGCAATCGACGGCATTCATTTCCTCTGGCAGCAAGTAGGTGAAGGTGTAAATCCACATTCAAATGGCAGGGGCAAGTTTTTCTGCTGAAAAATTACATCCTAACCAGTAGTTACCATTTAAGTGTCTGAAACTAATGTCCATGCAAATGCAGGGCAAGAACATCAGTCCACTGTCTGTAACCTCTAAACCCTAACTTGAACTTCTAATCCTAAGTCCTAACTCTAACCTTAATCCAAGCTTTTAATTCCTAATCCTAACTCGTAACTTAAACCCTAACTCTTTACTCTAAGCCACGACATCAAACCCCCTAATCTTACAAAAAAACTGGGTACTTGTCTGTTGCATGGAATTTGGTGCTATTGTGCTAATCTTATGCAACAGCCGAAGCAACATCTCCCTGCATATTTCAATGACTGAATTAGAGAGGACCACTTGCAACCAATAAACTGCACCTTGAATCGCTACCAATGAGATCGTCTCTCAAAACTGCTCTAGAGGAGTTGTACACCCCTAGCTGCCACTGCTATTCATTGGCGTAAAATAAAACAAAATGTTTCGCTCCGGATGACGTTGCAAAGTATTATCTGTATTTTGATTTAGCGTGCTGATCTTAAAGGTGCATTGAAAAATTTGATACTCCGACTGATGCTTCTGTTGTTATGGAGTAACTCATGCAGCCAGCTATGGCTCTAGGATTTGGTGTTACATGTTATTTATGTAGTTTATTGTAAAAAATTCGGTCACAGTCCTTGTGATCACTGTTACGTTGCAATTATGGCTTTATTTTTTGGTGATTTGGAAAACGTTGTTTGGTTTGGATATGTTTGTTTTGGAGGTATTCAGGACTAGTTTAAGAGCAACTAGCTGATGTTGTAGTTTGTTGAAATCACCCTGTAACTTAGCAATCACGTCATCCGGACAGCGGCCAGCAGTAATCAGTATCGTGTCATCTGCAAAAAAATTTACCCTGGAATGATCCAGGTCAGTGCCCAAGTCATTGACATAAAGAGAGAACAAAAGGGGGCCGAGGATGGAACCCTGTGAAACCCCTTTTGTCATCTTAACACTGTTTGACCTCCAACCATCTGTGAATACAATTTGGGTGCGAGAAAAGAGGTAATTTTGTAACAATTTTATTGCGTTATTGGAAAAACCGAGGCAACTTAGTTTACTAAGCAGGGTGTTGTGGTCTACTGTATCAAAAGCTTTGGGCAGGTCTAGAAAAAGACAGGCACAGTACTGCTTATTATCAAGGCTACTGTAAATGTTATTCAGAGAGTCTAATGCAGCAGATGTGGTGCTGTATTTTTTTCGGAACCCAGATTGTTTTAGATGTAGTAGATTGTTGGTGGGCAAGAAACTGCTAATTTGGTAGGTTAATAATTTTTAAAATAAATTTCATCAACGGGGACAAAATTGAGATAGGTCGGTAGTTATTTGGATCATCTTTAGGGCCCCTTTTGTGAAGTGGATGGACATAGGAATGTTTCCATTCTAGAGGAACTGAGGCTTCTTTGATGGACAGGTTGAAAATATGGGCTATAGGTTTGTATATTAAGTGACCAACAGTTAGTAGAGCAAAGACAGGAATACTATCTGCTCCGGTAGAGGAGGACCCTTTGAGGTAGGACAGTTGTTGCAGAACATTACTCTCGTGGATTGGCTGGAAACTAAATTCGTTTAATGTTTGGACAGGGGTGTAGGAATTTGCATGAGCAGGGGTGACTCCCAATACATTTTCAAAAATATTACCAGCTTCAGAAAAATGCAGGTTAAAATTGTCAACTATTTTTTTGGGATCTGAAAAATATTCCCCATTATGGTTAAGCTCAACGGGCAGATTGTCTGTTTTGGATGCCTTTTCGATACATTTGATTGTTTTCCAGAAAATCCTGGCATTTCCATGTGATTCCAGGAGAGTGGAGGAAAAGTAGGCATTTTTTGCATGCCGTATTTTTTTGACGCATCTATTCCTTAAAATCCTGTATTCTAGCCAGTCATTGACCAAATTACTTTTCTGAGCACATGCCCAAGCCTTGTCCCTAGTTTTCATGACCTTTCTAATCAAAAGATCAAACCATGGTGGGCGGTTGCCTTTAGTTTAAAATCTAACCAACGGAGCATGCTTGTTAAGAATTTGGAGAAACGTGTACCTGAAGGTCTCCCAAGCCGTAGTCAGGTTGGGGATATCACAGACCTTGTCAATATCCGAGTGAAGCACATAATTAGTAAATGCCTGAGTGCTGAAGTGTCTCATTGAGTGCTTCTCCACCAATTTAGAGGGGGCTTTGGGTCTGGCTGATGATCTCACCCCTAAAATGAAGCAGTGATCACTAAGGTTATTGCCCAGAACACCAGTCAGTGTGAAACTGTGAGGGGCATTTGTCAATAGGACGTCAAGCAGAGATGACTGTCCCGGATTTTTTGGTTGGGTCTTGTGGGGACATTTATTAATTGAAACAGATTAAATTCATCTGCAAAATTTGTGGCCACGGCCGGCGGGTTTAGCCAATTCCAATTTAGATTACCCACTAAAACTATTTCACCTTTAGGGAGGCCTCCAAAAAGCTCTCTCAGTGCAGATGCAGCTTTAACATCCTTCCCACTAGGCGGTCGATAGCAGCACACTACCAATATCTGTTGGTTATTTGGGAGTTATTCTGAGAGCCAGGCCTTCAAAGCAACGTTTTTTAAACAAAGAGTGAGCTAGTGAACATGCAATAGTATTACGAACATAGATGTCAATTACACCTCTTTTAGATCCTCGGTCAAGCCGAAAAAGGTTGTAGTTGTCAATCACAATCTGCAAGTCATTGACGGCAGGAGTGAGAAATGTTTCTGTTCGGCAAAAAATGTCCGAGTCAAGATTTGCCACTTCTAGTTTTAGTTGACTTAATTTAATCACAAGCCCTCTGATGTTGACATGTAGAACACCAACACCTTTCCTGCCAGAAAAATCTACAGAATTATACGAGTTATTTTCATTTGGGCCAGGATGAAGCTCAATACCACCCAGAAATAAGAAAAGTAGAATAGTTTGCACAAGTATTTTCTGTGAAAGGATGAAGAGCGGCGAACCTTGGACAAATAGCAGTAGCTCGCAGATGGTGTTTTTTTTAAAGAGCAGAATGAAGTTTGGAAGGAGTGCTGGTGAAGTAATGGGAAAAAGATAGGGTTTAAAAGGATACAATGATGGAGTGTAGAAGTGTCTATGAGCTGTTTCATTTGCAGGTGTAGTGCCAAATCGAGCAACAAGTATGGATGCAAAGTAACGAGGGTAGCTGTTTGTAGACTTGAGTGTGGCACTAGATATGGCCGGGAGGGACAGCAGTAGGATACACAGCAGGTGAAGAAAGGGCAAACACCATCCCCAACCCACCATGGTGACCAACATCCAGCAGTAGATTGTGACAGCACGGAATAATTATTGTCGCGACACTAATTCGCAATTCAAGTTCATCAAGTTGACTTCTACCAATTGTGCCTCAAGGCGACCGCACAGTTTAACTCTGCATTGGCGGAATGACCGTGGCGAAAAATAACGTAAGCATCGCGAACAACACACGACATCAACTTATACCCGTCGTTATTTAATGATAATTATTATTGTTATTATTTTGCACAAATAATTAAATCCGAGTTACTTTGTCGTAGAAGATTGGGGTTGGTTGGTGGGTGCCCGGAGCGCGGAGGTTGATCGCTCCGCCGCCACCAGCTGATTCAACGCGCTAAGGGACCGTAGCGATTTACCGTCGAAAAATAATATTACAAAAAAGCAAGCCGGCAAAACCACTCTATCGTGTGAGCAAGCTCAGTTGGTATGTGAATACTGTACATTATCTACCATCGTTGTGATATATCGATAATGGCATGCAAATTTGATCTCATGAAAAGTATTATTATGTAGACATAGTTTGAGACATTTACATGTCGAATAACATACACATTCTTAATTTTTAAAATATATATTACACTATCGAAATGAAATGTCAAATAGTTATTAATAAACTCCTTTAAAAAATAGTTGGTTTTTTTAACGGTTTTATTAACAACTTCGTTTAACTCGCGGTCGAGAAGTACGTCAATGGCGCCTGAGATACGCGGCGCTTGCTTTTTGTGCGAGCCGATTCCACCGTTTAGGGACCGCGGCGTTTTTGACCTACACACAAAAATATATAAATAATGTGTCCATACAAAATGTGAATTGCTTTAAAGTAGCTAATTACAGTAATTTATTACTTGATCCCGATTTTAATACAGGCATGCATTGTCACCGGATCTGAGTACGTGTGCAACATGTGGAATTGATTGGACAACGGGAAGTGGACGAAATTTTTATTACAAGGTTTGACCACGACAGAGGAATCAAGTTAAGTAAAACCGTAGAAAAAGGCCGCAAAGTGGACCTCAAAATGAGAAACAAACTAACCAAAGCTCACGTACACCACGATTGCTAAACAAGCGGGGGGGGGGGGGGAGTGCTCTGTCGGGCTCTGCCCATTGAACTAACCCCCTGAGAAACAGCAATATCGGGAAACTGAACTTACTCATGAAGAGCAACATTGCAATGTGCCTGGATAACCTTTGTTTGAATCAGAATGTATTTGCCTGCTGTGACTGTATGGCTCAGAAGCACAGGTCATCATTGAAGAAAATTTAATTAAAAAAAACTGTGGGATGCGTGCTTTGTATTCCGCTGGCAGAACAAGGCGACACGTGGATGACAGAAGATACGCAGGTTAATGCCCTCAAACTGTTTCTAGACAAGTGGACATGGGCAGGACACGTCATGACTGTAAGGGATGATGGGAGTGACAGCCAATGAATGGAACTCATCTGAAAAAAACCCCATCGATAAAGGAAACCAGGTGATGAAATTAGTTCTTGTGCAGGTATGATGACCAATCAGAGCAGGTTATGAAAGAGGCTGCAATTTTGATTCAGTGGGGACAGGAG